TTAAAATAGGGAAAGGTGTGAGACAAGGTTGTATTCTTTCACCATACTTATTCAACGTGTATGCTGAGCACATAATCCGAGAAGCTGGGTTCTATGAAGAAAAACGTGGCATCAGGATTGGAGGAAGACTCATTAACAACCTGCAATATGCAGATGATACAACCTTGCTTGCTGAAAGTGAGAGGACTTGAAACATTTACTGATGAAGATCAAAGAGCACAGCCTTCGGTATGGGTTACATCTCAATGTCAGGAAAATAAAAATCCTCACCAATGGACCAATAAACAACATTCTTATCAATGGAGAAAAGATTGAAGTTGTCAAGGACTTCATTCTTCTTGGATCAACTATCAACACTTGCGGAAGCAGCAGTCAAGAGATCAGACGACTTATTGCATTGGGCAAATCTGCTGCACAGGAACTTTTTGAAGTATTGAAGAGCAGAGATGTCAGCTTGAGGACTAAGGTGCGCCTGACCCAAGCCATGGTATTTTCAATAACCTCATATGGATGCGAAAGCTGGACAGTGAATAAGGAAGATCGTAGAAGAATTGACGCCTTTGAGTTGCGGTGTTGGAGGAGAATACTGAAAGTGCCATGGACTGCCAAAAGAACCAATAGATATGTTTTGGAAGAAGTGCAGCCACAGTGCTCCTTGGAGGCCAAGATGGCTAAGCTTCGTCTCTCATACTTTGGACATATTGTCAGGAGGGAACAGTCACTGGAGAAGGATGTGTCATGCTGGGTAAGATGGAGGGTCAGAGAAAAAGAAGAAAACACTCAATGAGATGGATCAGCCAGGTGGCATCATTGATGGCATCAAGTGTGGCAGCGGTGGTGGGGTTGGCCCAAGATTGAACATTGTTTCGTTCTGCTGTGCATGGGGTCGCTGTGAGTCGATTCTGACTCGATGTCACCTGACAACAACAACAACAAATAGTCTATGTCTACATTTATCTTAAGAATTATATTTGCAAACTACCATTCCGAAAAAGAAATAATCACTAGGCCCTTTCTGCTCCCGTAAGGATTTACAGCCTCGGAAACCCTGTGCAGGGTTGCTATGAGTCGGAACCAACTCCATGGCACATAACAACAGCAACAACAGGCCCTTTATTACTGATTTCAGACCACCCCTTTTTTTCAAACTTTGGGCATTCTCTTTTGAAATGGCTTGTTTTCCCACACTTATAACATCCCCTGGTGTACTTGGGGATGTGGACCAGGCCTCTCCTCCCTTTCCTCTGAAGAGGTTTAACACTGTAATCCCTGTCCCACTTCCCTCAAGAAGGGGAGTGTTGTCCTAGCCACTTATTTATTATTATATTCACAATCGATACCATGATTCTGGCTTTCTGCCTGTTTTCCCTTCTCTTTCCTTACAAAAAATTTCTGAAATTCTCCTAACAGTTCATCAATGGGTTTCTTACTCCATCCCTCAATCTTTTGTCATGGTTTCAGTTCTTTAAGGGGGATCATCTTCTGAATTGATTCTGCACCCCTTACTGACCAACAAAGGCTATTTCCTTCTAAGAAGGCTGAGTTCTATCGTTTACATGAAGGACTAGGGCCTGGCAGACCCAGTCCTCATTGGAACCAAATTGAGGCCAGAGTACAGATGGTGAATGGATTGCTTCTTTTGGCCAAATAAAACAACAATATTTTAATTTTTTTCCCAGGTTCGAGTATTGTCCCTGCAAGTCCTCCACCTTCTCCCTCAAGGACTGACAGGAGGAATGTCTGTAGGAATCTCTCCTGCTCCCTTCCTCCATAGCCCTAGAATTCCATTCCCCATTTTCTTTTGGTCTTGGTGTCTGAGTTCTCTTGCATATTCAACCTCCCAATATTTTCCCATGTTTGGATACTCATGGAGATTTCTTGCATACAACCCCAAAATTTCACTTTATCCATCACCAACCAGATTGGGACTCCGCACTCACTTTGCATCCAAGATGCATCTCAGTCATACAATGACCCCCCAAAATACCTGACCACCAAGGCAATACCTACAGTCCAATTTTCCTGCCCTGGCCTGTGCACAGATTGCCTGGTTGCTATGGTACTCTGTTCTCAGTCTTTCATGTCTCACTTGTTAATTCTGATCATCTTTTCACAATCTCAGGTCTTTTTCTGGACCTCACTGGGAGGCAATCAACCCTGTGAAGCAGGCTTCCAAAACCAAGGCTGGTCACGTCTCCTTTTCCACCAGGCCTACTTCTCCGAGCAGGCAGAAAATCCCATACTAACCCCCAAATTTGTGAGAAACGTTGTTCATACCAACAAATGCTCGAGTATTCCAATCTGAACTCATTTTAACAAGAGTGAGGTTTTCTTTATTTGATTTTGCAAAATCAGTAGACATGGGCAGACGTGCTGCATGGCTGGTCCACAAACAGTTTTATTCCCCTGTCCTGAAAAAACCCCTCCTCCAGTTCCTCTTTTACTGGGTATTGCAAGGTCACATTCTCTTTCCATCTATGAATCAAAACTGACTCAACAGCACTTAACAACACTGCTAAATAAAATGTAGAGCGCCTTGGGGAAAAAATCACTAAGATTTTTAAGATACGGATAGAAACCATTAAACAAGCTGGGGACCCTACCTATGTGACTGCAGATTGTAGTCATGAAACTAACTTCTGGTTTAGATTTTCTCTATCTAGACACAAAGAAGCACGATACTCTCAAACTCCAGCTAACGACAACAAAAAAGGTTCATCATTGGGATGGGATTAAAATTAAGCCCTTGACTTTGATACTCCAGGGAATCAACTGTCATTACATATAAGACCTTATAATCATTGCTTTAAGGAGCTCTGGTAG